CTTGGCCTATAAAAGGGAAAGCAGGGCGCCCCATGAAAGGGACGGTGAACCGATCGACCCATCAAGATCCGATACAGATCCACACAAGAGCACGACACGAACACACAGCTGAGTAGCAATCGAGCTCTCAGCACCCACTCACTCCTTTCACCAAAGACTTGGGATCCTTTCCCTCTCTCGCCCGTTTGTAACCCCTACTACAAACTTTCGGTGCTAGTAACACGAGCAACAGCGACGAACTGGATATAGGGACTTTCTGTCCGAACCAGTATAAACCTCATGTCATCTAAGCACACCATCCGAGCCAGACGCGCAATAATACAAATTTATTCGTCGGTGGTAACTCGAAACACCGACACCATGCCTGGACCATTCCTCGGCACGGCGTGCGAGCCCGGCCCGACTAAACCCCACTTATATAAATCTCCCCAACTACTATTCTCCCAAACCATATTCACCCCCACCACCTCTCGCGATCTCCCCTGTCTGTCCAAGGGGCCATTGCAGCTTCCCTCACCTTCTATCAAGAGCTTGTGGTTGTGGCTTCCCTCCCCAACGGGCGCGCCTCCCTTCTCCCCTGACGGTCGCGACTTCCTCCCCTCCTCGACGGCCGCAGCTTCCTTTCACCCCCAATGGCCACGACTCGCTTCGCCCCTAACAACTTCCCCTTCCCTCTCCGACGGGTGCAGAGGCGCGGGTCGAGCGACACCGACCTCGCTAGTGACACAACACAACCCAACACAACGACAGCGCATGTGCTGATCCCAGCAAGCGACACGGCGAGTTAGGCCCGTTAGGCCTTCAGTCAGCCCGACTCGGTTAAACCCTTGTAAAGGTTGTGCCTGGCCGAGTGCATAGCCCATGGGCACGCACAGCCCGGCACGATCTGCCAATAGAGTCGTACCAGACCGACCCCTTATCGGGTTGTGCCTCAACGGGCCCAAGCCATGCCGGGTTGGGTCACCCATTTAGCCATCTATATTTTATCCCTTTCTAGATGAAAATAGGGCCCATCTGGATCAGAAAGCCCGAATTTCCTTGGATGGAATGAATCGTGGGCTCACGGGCCCGTGGCCTCCGATGCAAGGGGGCATGGGCAGGAATAAGGAAGCAGTTTTTTTGCCCTTATTAAGGGCGCGTGCTCTCCTGGTATGCATTAGTGGATATTCATTGAGATGCGTGTATTGACATAGCACGAGAGAGACAATACACATGCAACTGTGCACGGCAAGAGGCACGGCAAGAGGACATGTGTCGTGGCAAAGTTTACTTTGCATTGCTCTCCACTCTCGGGCGATACCAAACTACCAATTACCTATTGGTTGCCAAAGAAATCATAGTGGGAAAATACGATGGACTAGGGGACTAGCAATTTCCAAATAATTGTTTGGTTGCAAGAGGAAGTCAAATTAAAATCCGCGATATTTGATTCGTTTCACACATGAACACACCTGTCAATCTCTGCCGCTGCAGGCTGCAGCGATGCCCGTGGACGACACCCTCTGCTCCTGAGTCAACGCTGGTCTGGTGACTCGAGGCCCCGTTCGCGTGTCCTTAAATCCGACTTGATTCACTTCTTTTTTCATCTGGAACAGTGTTTTCCTCTCACAAATTCCTCCAGATTCATCCAAAACCATCCAGATTCCTCCAAGCGAACAGGACCCCAGCTGCCGACATAAACCCTCTTGTCAACTCAACAAGTCGAAGAAGAAGAAGAAGAACCGGTGAGGCGGTGACCGATGCCTGCCTGCCTGCAGGGTGGTGGCGCGGTTCATCACAAGACAAAATGGGTCGAGTCCTTTGGCTGCTGGGATCTCACCAGCACTGCTACAATTCTCCAAACAGGTTGAAGAAGATGCCGTGATAACACAATGGATGCTTGAGATGGACGTTTTGGGGGTGGGTCGGTGGCCTGCGACGCTGTCCGCTGGTGTCGAAGAGAAGAAGAAGATGTACATGGAAGGATGGACTAGGAAGACCGAGATTTGCAAAACTCCGACGAAGTGACCCGGCCATATTTGGTGGCTCCCCTTGAAGGTCAACGGCGATCGGCGAGGTGGGGAGGTCCCGGGGTACCGAGCGCACCATGTCGGGTATGGGGGTTGGGGAACTCGGGAAGGAGACACTAACCGATTCAGTCCGGGTCTGAAATTCTGAGTTTCAGGTGGGCTCTTCTTTCAGCTGTCCGAGAGATCCACGTCCATCTGGTGCCATTGGACTGAAAAGTATCAGATCCAGTTCTGCACTCGGCCGAGCTCAACTGAAAATCGGCCCAGTACCTGGAACCCAACCGGGCTCTAGGAGTAAACAATGGCCTGGACCTCGTTTACTTCGCTGAAAAAACAAACTGAAACACGGTTCCGATGAGAGAAAAACACCGCTCCGGTTAAAAAAACAAACTGAAAAATATGAATTATAAGAGAAACGAATAGGACCCTAGTTACGTGAAGTACTACTACTACGTAAGCCGCGTAGCCCACCCACGGTCAACCAGCGCGTTTCGCTTGGCCCAACAACTCACGACCTGGAAGGTTGAACACGACGTCGTGTCGTCGTTCCACGTTCTAGTAGCTTCGTTTCCAAATATAAGAGCGGAAACATTATGGAAGATCGTTTCACAATTCAAACCCAGTAGGATTCATGTCCTAAATTAAAGATATAAAGTGGAGGAATCAAACTGAAAATTTATAATTAGTAGCATAACTTTCCCATCCTCACAATGCAATTAGATTATAGAGCATGCTTTTGTTTGTGTAAATACTATATAGATGCTAGATAAAAATATAATAATCTACAATGAAACAAGTTTATACTTAAGGGTGGATATTTCCAAGATGAGAACCGAAAACTAAACCGAACTCAAATTATGGTTTTCAGGTACGGTCCTGATCTTATTCTAATTTGTGGTATGGGTTAGGGTTGGTCTTTGGCCTCTAAAACCCGAATAACCCAAGTAGACTAATGTGTTCCTTTTTGTATTTGTTGTTCTTGATCCAAGGTATAAACTTTTAAATAAACTACACAAAAGTTGTTATCTTTATAGGTGTTTGGTGATGTCAAAGTAGAAAATATTGGAAAGAAATGACTAAAACACTTATTTACATGTTTGAAGAGTACGTCAAAAAAATATGCTAGAAATTGTTCGGTCAACTCAGTGGACTGAATGGATCGAACCGAATTATCTAAGTTTTTTGGATTTGTTTCTGTTTTGTTGTAAAATTTTGGTTCTCGTTTTCCGAAACCCAAATTTCTCGAAGACCGAACTAAATAACCCAAGAGGACTGAATGCCCAACCCTATTTATACTGATCGTCTTAAGATGCATTACTAAAATGGAACATGTTCTTCTTTCTGAGAATCTCATCTCGTTCCATCTCCTTGAAGGAACAATATAAATAGATCGAGTTCATCTTTTACTGAGCTTATGATCCTTCATTGTAATCACTCTTGTACCAAGGTCAATTCTGATCTGGAATTCCTCGTCCCGGACTTTGTAATACTATTGTGGTTGGCGATTATGCTAAACCCCATAATCTCATATGAACAATAAAAGTTTGTCCGGTTCGCGGCCAACCAGTTGTCTACCAGGAAAAAGATCGATATCAGATGGTCTCGGAACGTTGTCTAGGAGGCAAATCTGTCTGGCCACCGAACCAAACACACACTAAATGAGTGGGCCCATTCGAAGTTTTTTTTTTGGTTTAAAAGAGACCATGTTCAAACGGGGGTGCTCCTCTTGTATCAATAGCGGCACCTTGTCCACAACCCAAAACTGGCAAAGTCCCAATGCAAACTATTGTTGTATCTACAGTCGTATTATAGACCCAACTCCCCAATCATCATTCCTCTTGCTTTCTTTTTCCCAGCCAAGAAATATCAAATCACGGGACGATTGGTTTAAGACTTTAAGTGTCATCTTGACTATAAAAGGTTGACGAATACGTTAAGCTTGAGATGAACAGACTGACCATGCCATGAACCACACTAGTAAACTATACAGCTTCAAATAGTTTCAGTAACACACAGGTTTCAACACCAGGAAAACATTGACAAATACAAGGAGACACATGCATCTGCAGAGCATAGATAAGCAAACACTTATTAGGTAATTATATATGCTGTTTAAGACCAACACACAATGCAAGTACATCATCAAGCCGTACAATTCAGCAGTCACTGAATCCACACAACCTCAAAAAAGAGCAAAAAGAAAAACACACACTTAACGGTTGTTGCGCTTGGGTACTTCTCCACCCACGCAACCCCAGCAGCGGTACTACGCTTGGCAATCAACAATATACTTGTGTACGTAGTAGACTCATCCTTCCTGGATGCCTAATGGTGAGTGTGTGAGAGCAGTTGGTTGCCATGCTCGGCCAGCTCGTCACATCTCACGGTCTTGGTATCACCTCGGTCGCCTCTTACTTCCCGGTGCCTGCTACACAGCAGAACAATTCCGTTTTTGAGGACGCAGAGCATCGGCAGAGCAGATTAAAAGGTCTCTTCGAAGTGAAAAGATGCATCAACGTTTTGAAAGAATAATGAAAGATCAAAAAGGCACTTCACCAGGCATCAGGATTGATTGATTAGATAGATAGCATCTAATAGATTAATCATTGTTGTTAGATTTTATTGTGCTTTTCTAGACTGATCATTGCATGCAAACTTAACTGAATACACACATAAAAATGACACAAAATTTGAAATCTTAGTTGTATACTGGCGAAGACATATACCTGCCTCCCTTGGTCCATTGCACCTATAGCACTCCATCCTACTAGCAAAGTTGTGCACGTTGCAACCAGGCCTGGCCAAAGTAGAGAAACACAGTATATTAACGTCTGGTCAAGACAATTTCCAAACAAACCCATAAGATCAACTTCTATGAACAGCTGCTGTTTAATCAGCATTCAGCATAAAACACACATGCATGCCACTGTTTCTTGCCATGCATACGAAGGCATTCCTTCACCTTACTGAAATTGAGTAGAAATAGTTTGATCACCTTGTGCAGATCCAGTCGCCAGCTTTCCACCCAGCACGAACTGCGGCGCTGTCGCGTCCGCGAGCAAAGTCACCCTCACCACCGGCTGCACCTTGTCCCGCTGGGAAGTCCCTGACGATGGTGCCGCACTTGAAGCAGCTGCTGCGGCTGGCAAAGTTGTGGTAGCCGCAGCTGCAGTACCAGTCACCTGGGCGGATGTCCAGGGAGGTCAGAACACCACCCGTGCTATAGCCGTCACCGAACTGCAAGTCAGGGTGTGGGTCACGGCAACGCTGACAGTAATCACGGCGGCTGAAGTTGAGGTGCTGGCAGTTCTTGCAGTTCCAGTCTCCAGGCTTCCTCTGAATGTTCATTCGCAGTCAACAGCTAGCCCTGCACACCATGCATGTGTCAATAAGTCGTGGAGTGTAGTTCAGAACAAAACAAAACAAATGTATACCAAACCTAAAGGCAACTACACGTTTCTTCATATATCTGTATGATATATGAGCAGACATTACAGAAACAACCTTGCTGTATTGCAATATTATCATTATACACAGGAATATACAAGTCACCTATGCAATGATGGTCTAGCTAGATGGGAGCTAGAAGACCAAAAATTCGAGGCCCTTTGATTTTTTTGGCCTTTGTTAGATGCTTGTACGACATGCAATCAACAACTAAAAAAGAGAGAATATTTTAAGGGGAGACAACATACATGGAGAAAGAGATTAAGCAAAAGCTGCCTTAAAATAGGCTTAAGCTTGGCCAAAAGGGCACCCTAATCAATCATTTGGACATACACTTAAATCGATTATGTTTCCAAGTTAGTGTACCAACTGAAAAGGTAGTAAAAGCCCATCCAAGGGAAAACTAATTATTCCTATATCTGATGGAAATTAGTAAAGCAATCAATTAAATTGCATATATCATGCATCACAAGGAGCAAATCACACTTGCACATAACTTATTTAAATTGAAAGTAGACTTTTTTAGACAAACTAGCTGTAGATTTAATAGCCATAAAGGACATACTTTATTTTGAAGGAGAATGGACAATCAATAGAGATGTCACAGTGACAGTCTAATGCATGGGCATAAGAACGCGGAACAAGAAGTGATGCATACTCTGTGAACTTGCAAAGTCTCTTGTAGTTGTTTGTTCTTGGTACTAGGCCGGGTTTCAGTTGCTGTGTTGTCCTTGTTGTCTGCTTGCTTGCTGGCTGGCTGTGTTCATTCCTTGTGGCTGGCTGCCCTTTTATAGTGGAGGGACCTCAATAATTGCGAATCGGGGTTTGCTGTGGAGGCACGGAGATGCTTTGATCTTACTTCTAACTGAGCTATCCAAATCGAACAAGAGTATGAGATGAAAGCAGAAACTAGAAAGGAAAATATGCAAGAGGAAAGTGATGCTAAAGAAAGCAGGATTTCACAGTGTTACATCTTGTATCTACACCATGGAATATTGATATTTACTTCTGAAAACATATTAACAGCTATATAAACTACACAAAATAAATCAAATAGTACTCTGTTTCCATATACTTGGCCACTTTGACTTTTTTGTTTAAAGTTAAATTTTGATATATGCATACGCAAATTAAAGCATATACTCCCTCCAGTCATTAAAAGAAGATGTTTACGACAGCCTACATAGACTGCATGTAGTGCAATTTAGCTGTCATAAGTCTTTCTTTTAATGACCAGAGGGAGTAATATCTTTAAAACACCTTTTATCACAAATCTTTTTTTCCCGATAGAGGAAGATTCAGAATTTCAATAGCAATACATCAAGTTGATACATGGTATGATCACAAATCTATTATCACTATTGTTCTCTCTTTAATTAATTGAACATATACTCAGTCAAAAACTCAAAGTTGGTACAGTAAAAGTTCCCAAATATTCTGAAACGGAGGGAGTAATTGACCTCAGCAATATGAGATATAGACAGGAACTATTTGTGGTGTGAACATTTTGTAGGTGGTTAGACAAAACAAAAAAAAAACTCTTTGACCTGCGGGGGGGTAAGCCACCCCCGGCATTGCTGTAAGAGAGAAAACCTTCTCACACAGGCCGAGAAAACCCCCGAACCCCTGCCCCACCTTGACACAGGGGCACCGTTGCCCTGTGAGAACCGGGCCGGGCCTTTGACCTGCTCTTTGGCCGTGGGATAGACGAGGGGATTTTTTTTAACCCCAGCCTGAAATTCGTTCCCACGGGGAGTCGAACTTAGGACCTGAGGAGTGCCGCCGAGACCACCTAACCAGTTCAGCTAGGCACTCTTTGGCGTTAGACAAAACATAAAGCAGTTAAGTAGTTCATATAACTAGATGATGTCAAACAAATTTTGTATTGGCACGTATAGCCCATTATTATAACATAACTTAGATTTAAATCTAGAGGCAGGGCTACGCCTACAACTGAGCGCAGTTGTGAATTTGTGATTGAGCAGGCAGGGCAACACCACATGAACATGCAACGGCAGCGAAAAGATTTTTGCATGCAATGGTGCCTAAAACACATTGCAGAATGGTCTGCAACCAAACCAGTTAAACGAAAAGAATATTGTCATTGCGTTGGATTTGCGGTCATACAAGAAGGAATCGAGTTCGGAACGATGATATACGTGATAGATTAGAGGTAGCACCAATTGAAGAAAAGCTTGTCCAACACCAGTTGAGATGGTTTGGACATGTCCAACGGAGACCTCCAGAGGCACCGGTGCGTAGTGGAATCCTAAGCCAGGATAGTAACGTGAAGAGAGGCAGAGGAAGACCGAAGTTGACTTGGGTAGAGGCAATAAAAGGAGACTTGAAAGGATGGAATATACCCAAAGACTTAGCCTTAGATAGGAGTGCTTGGAAAACAGCTATTCACATGCCTGAACCTTGATTGTTTCTGTTGGGTTTCAACTCTAGCCTACCCCAACTTGTTTGGAACTTAAAGGCTTTGTTGTTGTTGTATACAAATATGAAAGTTGCTTCAACACTTGAAATAAGCACAAACAGAAGTTGACTTCCTGGATATTCCTACACATGAGAGTAACGATTTACATTGATGAAATGATCTGATCCAAGAGAAATGTTTTTTGTTCTCTCTGTCTATATATTCTTGCCCTCCTTTCTTCAGATTTTGGCGGAGTAACTATCATTTAAGCTATCCATGGACAATATCTTTAATAATTTGCATGCGACATAGGTGCGAGGATCGAGGAACATATTCTTTATACTTTGATTCTTCCGCCAAATATATACTGGTGGAGGTGCATATCTAGCAATGATGCACACTTCGTGTGGCTAAGAGAATTTCTGATGTTCCCAGTTGTGACCAGAGTGCTACATCATCTAAGGAATTATAAGAACAAAAGACGAAGTAAATCAAGAAAATAGGCTAACAAAACACAAATAAGATCGTGATGAATCTATATTCATTCATCTAAAGAATAGAACTTTTGAACAAGACAACATGCTCCCATAATTTTTTTTTAGCAATTTTAGTTACATTAACCTTTAGTATTTCTCTTATTATGAATTGAAGATGGTTTGCTTTATACACAATGGGGCTCACTGAAAGACAACATAAAATCATCCAGTTAAATTTCTGGATAGTAAAATTACATTGTTAAACTATCATTTTTCGAATTTGTTAAGTCATGCAATCTGCTTTGATTATGGAATCTTTCCCAACCTTTGCCCTGTAGTGTGGAAGAACGGAATAAAATAAATTGTTCACTAATGAAGCCAAAGTAGCTAAGTATGAGTAACTTATTGAAAACTATCGACAAGATTTGGTGAATTGATGATCAAATTAACAGTTTGATAGTAAGGTTATTACTTAAAGACAAAAAAAGGGAAGACAGGTGAAGCTTCTTTTTTCGTCAGTAATTTTTTTGCCCTTTGACTAATATAATCGACGATTTGTGTTGCTTGTCCATTCTAGATGCTAAGCTGCCCCCTAAACGATAGTACTAAAGTTGGCTAGATGTTTAGTTATATGCTAGGGGCAGATGGACATAACAACAGATTGATGGTATTATTGGGGTTAAATATATATAGCCTTTTGAGAATCGATTCTCCACATACGTGCATGATCTTTAGTCATTCACAAAACCTATTCTGATATACATATATTCTCCCAAATCACACTTTACACAATAATTCAAGAGGTTCCATAGTCAGCCATCCGTACTGTCATTTGCTAGGAAAGCATCTCCTTTCATTATCCTATTCAGAATTTCGATTAGTACTTCTGTTCATCTCCTGCTGTTGTTATTCAGGACAAAAAGCAAACTAGTCTTATAACATGAACTCTATTTCTTAGCAACAAAATAAGAGCAGTTGGGGAATATACTATAGAAGTTGGATTACTTTGATTAAATATTGCATTCTCGACGAGGGAATATGTATGACGGCCATCAAATGATATGGCTCCCACCAAGGCACAAAGCATTTATGGACTTCCTAAAAAGGGTCGAGTTATCAAACTTGCAAGTTCACATGGATTGTCTAATTTAGAATGAATATGCCTGAATCAGCTCTGGTATATATTTCTTTCCACTGCAATTATTCCTACGTGTTACAGTTGATGGATGTCGATGTATTCCATGTCAATGCATAGCATTTCATCACGGAGGAAAATATTGACAAACAAAGAAAATTAGGTTTAATGTCTGAGTATCTACCTTCCCCTCCCACCAATCACACATAGACACATCGATAGGGTGTTCCCACGGTAATCCCCAAAAAGAACACTCACATATCGTTATCACACCCAGTAACTTGGATTCTTCAGCAGCATCTACAAACGCTAGAGCAAGGTTAAGCCGACTCTTCTGGCGGTGCTGACTTGAGGAGGCATCAATTCGACGCGGAAGTGCAGAAAGCAAGAGATCATGTTTCTTTGTTATCAGTTGCAAATACTGTTTCCACTACATCATGTTGGTTTACAATTCATAGAATGGAGATCAGCAGGGCAAATTAGAAGCCCAACTTGATCTGGTGGAGGCGAAGTTCAGCCCGCGTCGCAACTGGCAACGAAATAAGATCAACTTTCTGTAAAAAGGCAAGAGATGCCAAGGTTCTAATTCCAGATAAATTTTATTTGCACGTATTGTTCCCCGTGTCGCGAGAACAATGTCCCCTGACTACCTGTTCCCTGAGAGGGAGCTCACATATGCAGCGTCCAGTTGCTGTATTCATATCATATATAGAGAACATAAATTCCGCATGGCGGTGGTCTTTTCTAAAGGTACATTATAGTTGCTGATTTGAAGTTTGGAACCCTTGGACGCGCGATTTCTATTGAATAGACAAATTGACACAAACCAAAAGCTTATGGTTTATGAAATGAATGAATGAAATTATAAAAA